ATCACATCCCTATGCGGTAAGCATTTAAGCGTTCACTATATTATTTATACTACATTTAGTAAAACCAATACATCAACAGTTGCTCTGTTTGTTTTGCCTATTTTTATAGCGTATATCTCTTATTAAATGACAATTTATATTAAAAACCAATGAATTATTTATAGTTTTATTTTCCTTCTTAAAGATGATTATTTTTAAAGCAATAATTGTATTAAATTTTTGTTTAAATATTTAATGCATTGTTTGTGAGAAATATTCATTAAAAAGTTTTGCAAAATGAGTTCCCAAAAGTCAAATGTTATCTAAGAATAGTATATACAAAACATGCGACAATAAAAAGCGTGAAAATTGATTCTTCTCTTGAGAAACCAAAAGTGAAATTAATTTCCGAAATAAAATCCAAAATATATTATTGATTTGGTTTTGAACGGAAATTCCTGAACTCTATAAACAGTGCAAAAGCGCCGGAAATATTAATGTGTTTTTATACGCCTTTAAATAAATGTTATATTAATTACAAAAAATCAATTGATTTGAATTGTAAATAAATTTATTAGTTTAAAAGTTGTTACCTTTATTTTGTTAATATTATGGGCGCATATATTTAAATTTATTATTAATTAACTGTTAAAACAGTAAATACTGCTTAAAATATAAAACTATCCAAGAACATTCAATTAATTATGAAATTATATAAAGTAAAAGTTAACGATAAATATGTATTACTTATATACTGTACTATACTTTGTTAGTTCTGATGAAATTGTGATAAAAATTGTTATAACTTATAATATGTTTGTACACAACTCAGATTGCCGTAAACTCAGACTGCCTTCAAAGTGTAATAATAATGTGTCGCAAACACCAGAATATTCTCTCACAAATACACTCTTTATAAATGTGATGATTAGCTTAGGAACAGAATATTCCGTTTTATTTTTCTTTACTATTTAAGTGTTATATGGCTTTAATTTTCTTCTTAAAAATATACTAAATATTCTAAGTCATATTTGCATTCATACATAGCATTCGCATCATTTGTTTTAGATTTAATATCAATATTTACATACATTTCTTTTCAATGTATGAATTTTTAGTTTAAATTATATTTGTTTACATATTTTAACATACATACGTTAACATTATTGACAGACAAATGATAGGTGTTATCATTTAAGAGCTTTTTATACACTAAATAACTAGCATTTAAGCGCAATATTCTTATATATAGAGAGAATATACGAGTATTTATGTGACACACTATGCAATCATTATAGTCTACAGTATATTACATAACTATAAGTAATAAATAATTATTAATATATAGTCGACTGCCATATGGGCTTAGATTTACTTATGTTTTAATGAATATAGGAAACCAAATTAATCTTTCAATAAACATGTCTTTACGTAAATATTACACTTATAATATACTTTTAATATATATAATACATAGGTTTATGTAAACATTGCTGTTCATTAAACAATTAATCATTAAGCGCTACACTTTATTAATGCCAAACATAATTATTTCTTAATAATATCACGAATATTCTGTATATTTATCAAAATAATTAAACTCAAAGTTTCATAAAGTTGTATTGAAATTACCATATTCTGGTTTTATAATACAATTCAGTAAATTGTTATTATTCTGTTTAACAATTCTTAAGGTAATAAAAATGTAATATTTAAAATATTAATAAATTCTTTGTGAAAAGATTTATATTAGTATAACTATTAATATTATGTTTTACTAATAAATAATAATGACGTGAATATTTGTAAATATAGCTGCGGTCGAGGCGTGTCTATCCTATGGCCTCAAACGCCGAGCACTCGGCCTTTTTAAGACCAACTCCACGACAGCGTTACTGCAAAAAGTGGCCAAATTTTCTGAACCGGCGACTGTTGTCCTTAAGATGGTTACCGATTTAGAAAGCGGTGATCCAAACAAGTAATTCATTAAATAGTGGTGTTTAGGAGATTAATAATAAATGATAACATTTGTGTAAATTCTTGGTGGTGTAGGCGCTCGTCATCGAGTAGTGACAGCATTAATAAGAACCGATTGTCCAAAACTAAGCAGAGCTCTACCAAACCTGTGGTCCGGTATCTGTGGATCAGAATAGCGTTGTTTGAGAAGCATTTGGTGTCGATTGTCGACCATTTGGTTGAAAATAGCAACAAATACTATGAAAAGGACTCTTTGGTGTCCGACCCGGTGTCCGGACAGATATTGGCCTCACTATTGGTCGGTCCGTGTGCTCTGGATTATAGCAAAATGAAAACTCAAGACCACTTCTGGACGGATCCACCGGCGGATGAACTCGTTCAGAGACACCGACTGTCCGGCTCTTTACAAAACGGTCCGTCAACTCCGCCGACGGGTCGCAAACCATTGGGTCTATACTATCGAAGAGGTGTCGACGGATCCAAATCGTCGACCAGTGCTGACGAGAAGAGTCCTCCGGTGTGTCGGACGTCACTCTCGTGGTCGCCGAGAGATTATGTCGAGTCTTTGCATCAAAACTCTCGCTCCACTCTATTGTACGGCAAGAATAATGTTATGATTCAACCGGTAATTTAGTTTCAAAAAACTTTTAATGTTTGCTTATTTTTAATGAATTTTTTCAAATGTGTGATTAATTTGCAACACTAGAGAGAGAATATGGAGGCAATACCCGGATATTTGTCACTGCATTCAACACATATCGGTTTAATCATCAAATGGACACCAAATCAGCTCATGAATGGTTGCACTCCAAGTATGGGTGATATACCTGCCGTCGATTCCCCTAATAGTCAGGACAAAAGGTTTGTCGTTATTTATAAATTATATTTAATTGAATGAATCTGAGTTGAAATTAAAAAAACTAAACCACTGGAAAGTATTAGATTAGATAAAAAAGGATTTTACACATGAATTAACTTATTGTTTAAATAGAGTTTTACATAATAATAGTGTAATAGTGAGTGAATCTGACATTAATTAATGTGAAATAATTATCAAAATGTGTGCTAAACAACAAAGGAATCTCTAATACTGTGGAATCTAATAGAGTTTAGGAATCTTTTTAATTATATGTTACATAGGATCCAAAATATAGCACAGAATTTGACATTTAAGTCAAAACAATGCAATTTTCTCAGCCGTAATAATAGGATAATTAATTTCAGTTCAGATAAAATTGATATAAGAATCTTAAGTAATAATAATTTTTAAGAATCTTTATAATAATTTTAAATATTTAAATAGAATAATAATACATGAATGTAAAATCTAGAATATATTGATTAAAATCTAGAATATTATTACAGAATCTTTTAAAATAACCCTAATCAAAATATCAAATGTAATATTTATTATAAACATAATTAATAATTGACAGCACATTCTGGGACTACGCCCTAAGTCTTAATGTGGATGAAATAGTATACCTCCACTGCCATCAACAGGAGGGCAGTGGGAGTATAGTACTGGTGGGTCAGGACGGGGTCATGCAATCGCCCATCAAATTCCCGAGAGGGGGACATCTCTTATCATTCCTGTCGTGTCTGGAGAACGGACTCATGCCGTACGGCCAACTCGACCCTCCCCTCTGGTCACAAAAAGGTAAAGGTATGCTTAATACACATCAATACTTCCATCGCTTTCATCTTCTCTATCGCTTCCACTAAAACGGAGACCTAAAAGACCGCTGTTTTACAAATACTTTTCTTCTTTTCCTCTATTTTTTGGCACTGAAATGATTTTCAGGGAAAGTATTCCCGAAGTTGAGACGCAAAGGCCGCGGATCTACTCGTAATCGAAAGCCAAAAGAAGTCGTTGAAGAAGTGGAGGAAGAAGAGGAGCCGTCTGACTATGTGTTTAGGATAATCGCCACCTTTGAAAAGCCAGAAACCATTCGTAATTAACAATAATTTTTTCAAATTTATATTCTTTGAAAATTAATATTTTGAATGCATTTAAATACAGCGCAAGAATTATTTGATCCAAACGCCACAAAAAGCGGATTTTATCTGAAGAGACCATTCAATGGAATGAAAAAATCACCGAATTCTTCCTCCACTAAACACAGCAAATCGAAAGACAATGAAAACAAGCGCAAGAATTATTTGATCCAATCGCCACAAAAAGCGGATTTTATCTGAAGAGACCATTCAATGGAATGAAAAAATCACCGAATTCTTCCTCCACTAAACACAGCAAATCGAAAGACAATGAAAACAGTACTAAACAGTCGACCGAATCGCTGGACACTATCGATAACGCGGACGCAAAAGACGGCGACAATGAGTGCGAAAACAAGTCAAACATAAGGACATTATGCGATACAATGAAGAGACAGATAATTTCGCGTGCATTCTATGGTTGGTTAGCCTATTGTCGACACCTGCGCACAGTTCGCACACATTTGGCCGATTTGGTCAACTTGAAGATGATCGCAATGGATGAGCCGACTGATGCCACTCACGGTATTACCACAGAGTTGTGGCAATCGTTCAAATCTCCCGACGGACGGATCGCCGACTCCGACGAGATCTATAGACTTATATATTTCGGTGGTATTCAACACAGTCTCAGGAAAACCGTTTGGCCCTATCTTTTGGGTCACTATAGCTTCGAGATGTCTGACGACGAGAGGGCACAGCGAGACACAGAAACGCAACACATGTACGAAATGGTTATGTCCGAGTGGTTGGCTGTCGAGGCCATTGTCCGGCAACGAGACAAAGAGATAATGGCCGCCAATTTGGCCAAACTATCTTCGGAGAGCAATTCGGCTGAGATTCCTCTAACGGGTCCTAAAGACCACAATCTGAGTAACGATGTGTTTGAAGACATCTCCGAAGGCGATGAGTCCAATCCGTCGAGTCGTAAGTCATCGACACAAACGGATGTCACCAAAGATGGGGTCAAAGAGTCCGACCGACCGACGAGTGGCGCTGCGGCCAGACGTCAACTACAGCGACACCGACCGGTCGACAGTCAGAGCAGTTCGCAGAATATAATTGTCACCAATTCATCGATTGATATCACAAACACATCCAAAGTTGAGCAACAAAACAGTGAACAACCCGGTGATGACAACCCGTCGGACGCCGACTGTACGGCACATCTTCCCATCGCCGGCAACGGGGAGTCTAACTCCCAGTGCGTGTCTCCCGTCTCATCCAATGGTGGCGTTTATACCGTAAGTATTATTAATTAATATGTAATCTCTTTTAAATAAAAGCCTAACTTTTTTTGCTATACTTTTAACGATAGAACGAATTATTAGATTTATTTTCGCTAAACATTCACCGAATCGATAAAGACGTCCAGAGATGTGACCGAAACTTCTGGTACTTTACGAACGCCAATCTGGAGAAACTTCGTAACGTTATGTGCAC